CTCAGCAAGTTCTGTCAATTTCACCAACCATTCCTCCACGGTGGGTAATGTTGAATCTTTCCATCTTTGTGCCGCTCAGATTCTCTTTCCTAATGAGTGATACAGCCAGATTGCTTCACTTCCAAACTGTTGCTGAAAGTTGTCCACATTTTCCATGCTTCTAATCTTTGAACAGAATCTTGTCTTATCTGAGCCTTTCATTAATTTCACCCTTCTCGGAAAGCAATTAGCTTCCTCCCACGAAGTTTGAGGAGCTGTTCTTTTCATGTTTCTTTGCCAATACATGATTTTCACAAAAGCCCCTGTCTTCCTATGTTATGTAATATTAGTCTGACCATTTCTTATTCTCATCTCCTCTCTGCAAAGTCTAGTTTATGGGGAGGATACGGGCCAAGAAGATAGCTTCTCATCAGATTAGTTTAGGAAGCAAGTAGTTGCCAAGGCTTGTCTCAATTAGGCAGTAGATATTATGTAAGTAATCCATTGGAGGTTGTTACTAAAAAATGAAAAACGTGTATACAGAATATGCATAAGTAAACAAAATTATGCTTTGTTTTTAAAGTCATATCTGACTGGTATGTTGATAATATTTTTATAGATTAGAAGTAATCCTCACAATATTCAAGATGTTGAGTTGGTCTTTCACATTTAAATTGTAACATAATCAAGGGTTGCTCTGGACTTCTTCCTTGTTAAAGTTGGTCCCTGCACCTACTGAAATCTGAAATGGCACCCATATTAATCTTAGTTATACTATTTCAAAGGTAAAATATTTTATAAAAACAACACAAGTTTGGGTCTTTGGCTGCTAATAAATTTGGCATTTTGCAAACACTGGGCTATATCACTTGCTGTTTTTGGAGTTAGAATCTTTATCTCCCAGATCAGATGCTAATCAATATGCTGAAATAAAATAAAAATCAATATGCTGAAATACATTTGAAGTAATAGAACCTTTGAAAAACATTATCAAAGGGAAATATTTTAAGATTAAATGTTTTTCCTTTGTTTTAAGATAACTACTTTTAAAGGGCTTACTTTAAAATGTAACTATTTGATTAATATTTCCCTTTTTGCCAGGTTGTTTACCATCAATGAATTCTTCCTCTTGAGAACTGCACTGTGCTGGGTCTTCCTGCAACAAAATCCCAAAATTCAGATAATCCCATCGTATGATACTGTCCTCACATACTTTAGCAGGTATTGATATATATGCTTCTCTTACAGGGATCATAACCCTCCTCTAAAGTAGGACTGGGCAACTTGGCTTAGGCCTGATTTCCTGCAGCTCTCAGCCTCCATGCAAAAGTCCTCTGCTAGCAAGCAATTGTTTGGCCAAATGCAGGAGTTCTAGCCTGTTTTGCAAGTGGAAAAGGAGAGGGAAAGAAAGGGATGGCAAGGGAAAAAAAGAGGCTTCTTTAAGCCCCACCTACTATGTATTGATATGAAATTCCCAGATCCAGTGTGGTCTTCACCAGAAGCAGTTCTAGATGGGCTACGTTGTTATATTTCTCAACAATTCTATGGTGTAGATTGGGCTGCAAAAGAGAACTGTCCCCAGATAAAGGACTAATAAGAGTTGGAAGGGCCCCTCTAGGCCATCCCTGTCTCACAGCAGGAATCTCCCACTATGTTCTATGGCTGAACCTGGGTTCTTCCCATCCCAGTCAAACATAGTGTAGAGCAGTGTTTCTCAACCTCGGCAACTTGAAGACGCATGGACTTCAACTTCCAGAATTCCCCAGCCAGCCATGGTGACTGGGGAATTCTGGGAGTTGAAGTCCATGCCTCTTCAAGCTGCCAAGGTTGAGAAACACTGGTGTAGAGAATTAGCAGCCCCTTAAGCTGCATCCTCTACTTCCTCTGCTGCTGCTAAAGACAGAGAGCCAGCAGGTCATCCTTTCATGCCCTTTTCCCACCCAAACAGAATTCCCCAAAGTGAGCCCAGTTCAGCTTCAACCATGAAAGATTTCCAGGCTTCTTGTGAAATATACTTTTTGTGGTTTAGGTTGATTTCTTTTAAAAGAAAAGACTGTCTTAACCCTGCTGTTGCTATCCCATGAGACATTCTTTTCGGTGAGTCATGGACCACTATAAAGAAATCTCTGTTTGAATCAAAAGAGAGCTCCCATGAATCGAATATCAACCTCTCTTCTTTTTCATCTCTCTCCCCCAGCCCTGCCTTTTTCACCAAGAGCTAGGAATGAATTGAAGGCCTAGATGAATCATTATTTATTCGTTTGACCTGAGAAGCACTCATTCTATGAAAAGATTTCTGAAAATAAGGCCATTTGCAGCCATGCACATGCACAGGCTGAAAGTGATGCATAAACTCATTTTTGCACAGGTTACATTTCACATAATGTGCACGATACAGCAAGATGATGTGGTTAAGCAATCTATCTTTCGAATGCCATTTGCTTTCAAAATAGCTGATTAATTGGCCCCCAGCCAGAAATCCATCCCCTTAACCATCTCCGTTAAGCTCACTGAATTTTAAATCGTTTTGTCATTTACAGATTTGCATTCTTTCAGCTTAATATAATCTTCTGTAACATGCCTCAGTTTAAGACATCTGAAAAGGGGAAAAATAGAATGGGTAACATTTGCTTATTAAGCCTTATGAAATAGGCACATGTAGACAGTACTTCTTTAGAAGTTTATTCTTTTGCTCGTCGTCTAGCTGAGTTCTCATTATGTCAACCAAAATTCATCAAGTTTAATAAGAAACAAACCAATTGAGTCAAAGGTATCAGTAGGGCCAATTATAATGCCCCTAGCATCCTAAACATACTTCTCAAGAGTAAATCCTTTAATCTGGCAGTGATTCCTATTGCTTTTAATAAGACTCCAGTCATAGACATCGTATTGAATTCAGAGTTATACATACTTAAATCCAGCGGCTGCAACTGATTGAAGATGGGCTATATCAAAATCCATCTTCACAAACATTTTCTTGCTCTGCAAAAGAAGGCTTGATTTTCATCCTCAGAATGCTTTGTCCTTGCTTTATTGTAAGGAGATGGAGGATGCTAGTTGTTGCGTGTGTATTTTGGCAACATGCTTTTTCATCACTCTGCAGCATTCTAGCTGCCCATGCTTTTGAAAAAGTCCCACTGGAGGGGGGGGGGGTTGAACTACATCTACTCTACTATCCTTGAGATCTGATACTAATAGCCCTTGAGGCAATGATCAGCAAGCAAAAATTCACATACTCAGGGCTTATGGGACAAATGGATGATGGAAAAACTACTCTGCTTGGCAAGGCTGAGAAGCAGAAAAAAAAGGAAGACAGTGGATAACGTAGGTGGATAGGACCAATGTGATCACTGGAATGTCACTGAAAGCTATGGAATAGCACCAGGACTAGCTGGGATAGTAGGCATTTGTCCATTCAGTCATCAGGGGTCAGGCACAATTTACCTAACTACTCAGATTGTTATGGAAAGGAGCCTGTAGGCCCCTAGAAAGATGATTACATGATGGACAAAACACAAATACCTCTTGGCCACCTTTTAAGATAAATGCTAGAATCCCATATTTCAGCCCCGAGAATGATGCTGAAAATTTCTTCCCCTTTGAAAAGAAAAATTGAAAGTAATTTCTGTCTCACCAACTTGTGTGAGGATGGTTGAAAATGTGACAGAAGATATTTTTGGCACAGCATTGACTTAGACCTCTTTTGGATATAGCTGATACATACTGAGATTGGAGTCTCTTAAAAACCATACCATTGCTTTAAAAATTATCATCCATTTAAAGATTATCATCCAACAATCTCTAAAGGTTATCCTGAGAATAACCCACTGGCTTTTTGTTTATTACTTGTTATCCTTGTGAACAGTAGATGCAAATGTTCCAAGCAGAGTTTTCTATTTGCACAAAAATAGTCTGGCCAAAACAAAAACAAAAAAAATGGTAGAATCAAGGCAAGGTAATTTGCTTGGGTTGCCATGGTCCAAGAGAAAAAGCAGATAACACAAAGCTTTACATTGTTTAGCAGCCACATGAGATACCAAGTAGCTTTATGCTACTTTATAACAGTTCCTTACACAGTTCATGGAAACAGCTGCAGGAGATCTCTTGCACTGGAAATTGCAGCCAGTTCCCAGTTATTGGCCAGTTTCCAAAGACCCACACAACTGAACTCATTCCAGAGTGTCTAAAGGAGGTCTGTGTTTGCATTTCTTTCCAACAGAAGCCTCCTCTGCCACATCACAGCTCTATTTTAAAACCGGAGAGAGTTCAGAATTAATGTTCAGCAAGACTCTGAGAACATAAGAAGAGTCCTGCTAAGTCAAACCAAAGGTCCATTTAATATAGCATCCTGTTTCCAACACTAGCCAGCCAAATGCATCTACAATGCCATCTCTGTTACAGTACATGTCCCAGCTATTGATTTTAAGATGTATACTGACCAGGAAAATGGAATCTCTTTTTAGAAGATATTATAGATAATAAGCATTGGTATATGTATTCTTCATTCATGTTTTAAACCCAGTCTTCCCTGCCTAGTGCCCTCATATATGTTGGAATTGCCAAAGGTCATGCTTTCTGAAAATTCCTGGTGTTGCAGTCCCAACACCTCTTGAAGGTGTGGATTGTTGATCCTACTCTAAAATTTTGTAATGTAAATTATTTATATAGCTAACTACTGTTCAGTTTCATTGAGAGCCTGCGGGATACCCAATTACATTAGAAATGGAGAAAAATATATATTCCCTGTTTCCATGCCATTCATCATTTTACAAACCTTCCAATTTCATGTACATTTTCAACCTGCTTCTTAAAGAAGCATGTTCACCATTGATGCATTAGTGCCATCTGAGGTAAGTGCTTAATATCTGACTCCCTTGACTCAAGACAACGGTCTCTGTTTTAAACTAAAGCTGGAAATTTGTGAGTGAGTGTCTACACCAGAGAATAATGTGTTCTCAGAGAAGACAGAAACCAATAACTTTGTCTTAGACTGTGGGTACTTTCACATGGGCCTTTGACATGTTTCAGAATCTATGTTGTGCCTCTTTGATCCTACACTTATGTCAGCATAAACTGCTCAGATGCAGCACACCAGAAATTGCAAGAAATTTATTTTCAACCTGCAAGTGTTATAAGCAGGGGACTTCCTCATTGATGGGAACTCCTGCTTTCTAGCTTCTGGGGTCTTCTGCCACCAGTCTTTTGAGCACTGACATTGCATTGAGCAGTGAAATGTTATTGTAGTTGTGGTTATCAGCACCCTCTTTAATAGGGACCAGGATTATTCTTTAGAAATCACAAAATATGGGGGAGTGGGGAGTGGCAGGGTACTAGTTGGGCAAAATATTTTATCCTTTGCAGTTGGTCAGTTGAAAAGAGTGTCATGGGGGTCTCAATATTTAAAGGCCAGCAGCAGTAAAAATATTTGCAGTTTGTTGTTGGACAGTTTCAAAATGTTCCAGAGGGAGTTGGAAGTTGTGATGGTGTGGAAATGTCATATATCTAAATAGCTTTTATTTCAGGAAGTTGCCTACACTAAATATATTATGTGAGTATGTAATTGACTCTAGACGGTTTGGTGATGCTATCATCTTTTAGACACCATTCTTATTTAAGATAGAGAATTGAAAAAATATGAATACATATGTCTTTCTGTGGAAACAAAATAGGCTGGTCTAGCTTTGGATTCTGATAGATTTCAGGGAGGCCCTGGAAAGTTTCCATCTAATGCAATTCACGTTCCTGTTGACATCTAGATGATCTTTGAGATGTCTCCAGTCTTAAACACATTCACTACTGAGTTCTCTTTCATCTTTAGAAAAGAAATACTTGACTTCCCTTATTTAATAGGAACAATGAAATAGTTTGGAATTCTGGTTCAATTATGGGTTGAAGAAGACTCAAAAATAAGCCTACATAAACACAGGGAGGAGCTCACATTAGATCTTTCTTTAAAGTGTGATGATAATGAAGACTCAGCATTTATTAGCCATTATTGTCTGCTTGCCATGCTATTTGCTAGAGATATTCTAAAAGGGTTATGGTTTTAGTTTTGCATGATGGACTAATTCTTCAGCTTGAAGTATCCATTTGTAGACTTAATAAGTTTGTTTTTAATAATGATTTGTACTGTTTACCTAGATTTAACCTATTGCAGTAATAATCTCCTGGGTCCTCCAGATAATTTTTTTACAAATTACATCATTCTGTCAGATCAATAGCTTTATATATGAGTTTTCAAATGAATACTGTCTGAACCTGGTGGATTGTTAATGTTTAATTTGTCAAAATGATGCAGGCATTCATCTCACATTACTATGATGTGCTGCAGATCTCCAAGATCCTTTCCTTATGAAAACTCAATCGTTAAGATGATATGAGGACAAACAAAAATCTGATCTGCTTTCCTTAAACTTCCTTAACACACCCTGAGCCCCCTTATTGAGTAGTCTGCCCACCTTCTATAGTCAGTTTCCTGTTTCCAAGGCATTTAAAGATTATTTTTTAATCATCAGGTACTAGCATCTTCAGCAAACCACAATAGCACCAAAATGACATTACTGAACATTTGCATCCCAAGTTCTAATATAAGGGCATAAGTGGCAGTGTTTGTGTAATGATAACCCATGTCATCACTTACACACTTTTAATGATATGGGCTTTGTAGTTCTTCTCTGTACCTCTTAACGTTGGCTTTATTAGATGCCTCTGATGTCCTGACAATTGAATTGTCCTCAATCAGTTGGAAAGACAGGTGTTGAAGAGAATGTCTAACAATACTTTGAAGCTACGTTCTGTAAACACAGCAGCTAGTTTATTACTAATTAGGACTTGGTTGCAGAAACAGTTTCCTAGTTTTAAAAACAACTGCATTAAGGCACTGATCTCAGGTCTATTTCTTGATCTACTTCAAGCTGCTCTTAGAAAGGAAAAAGAATGAAACTTCCAGCTGCACAAAAGAAAAGAACTCTCATATTTAATGACCTTATTCTAACCCTTAGCATAATCTCTGATTCTTCTATCTCGTCACCTGTTTTTCAAAAGCAAAAAATGGATCTCGTAGGAAGCACTAGCTAGATTCACATATCACGCTGAGCCAACATCTACTTTGTTTGGTTTTGGCTTAGCAGCTTGTTTGAACCCATCCAGGTGTGATTTAACCTATAAATTATGGCTAAGCAAAACATGACTTCGTGTGGTTCATGAACTCGGTCTCACTCTGGAAGCTAAAGTTGTGGACCCTAAGTTCAAAGAGATTACCAATCCCTGATCTAGAGAGGCAGAAAGAGAAGATTAGGGAAAGGGAAAGGGGAAGATAGAAAGGTCTATTCCATTCTTCTCCAAGAAAAGTTTGAATCCAAGCCCATATGCACGTGCTCTCAGATGTCTTTTATTTAATAAATTGAATATAAAATTATTAAATATAATTAAATAATGTAAGTACTACTTCAAATACTTTAAAGCATTCCTGGATATGTTTTAGGGTTTAATTTGGCAATCTTAACAACATATTTCTTGCTAACATTTGTATGTTTCAAGATAGTGGAGAAAAGGTGTGAAGTTGGCACATTCTAGAAAGCAAACTATCTGAGCAAACATAAAGTAAAATGCTTAGCCAAACAGATGTGGCAGAACTAAGGATATTTTCCCAAAATCATAAGGTGAAATACATTGTGTTTTAATGAGTTAAATTCAGATATGGGTTATTGTGAAATTTCAGTTAAGGCAGCTGGTTTCTATGCAAATCCCTTGGTACTGGAAATGACCTATTGTTTAAGGTAAAAGAAAACTCCTTCTGAGTTCCTTTTAGCCTTTTGAAGTCAACTACAGCAAGAGGCAGATGATTCCTCTCTGACCTTGTAATGACACGTCACATGTTTTTGATATTCAGAGCTCACTTCTGAGTGCCTTGCATCTATAAAACAAAATATAAAAAGTATTTGAATTGAATCAAAGAAAGTTGCAGATGAACTCTCAAAAAGTCACTGGAATCTGGATGAGAAGAAGAGAGTAACTGCCTTCAGAGTTTCTTTTATGAATAGCTGCAGTTTTAGAGGTTCTGTTCATAACAGTTTCTCTGATACAAATAACATTGGAAGAGATCTACTAAAAGGTGCTACAGGAAGAGGTAGGAAAGATCTACAAAAGGGGACACATATTTAGAAAGAGTCCAAGTTGTGTACTGGAGAACTCATTCTAGAAGCCCAAAGGGACTTTGGGTTGTAATCCTATATTCAGTTACTCAGGAGTAAACTCTTCTGAGTTTTGTTTCATGTCAAATGGCTTTTGAACCTGAGGAGAATGACTAAATTTAGTAGTGATATGTCTGGGAGAGGGATGCTAATCAGTGGTTCAAATATGCTCAGTTTGATAGTTTCACATTCCCTTCCTCCCTTGCACTGGCCATGTGAAGTTGTTTGTCAGCTCTTCGAGGCAGATCAGATCAGGCAACAGACACCACAAGAAATACTAGAATTCTTCTTTACTGGTATAAGCTATAATAACAGAATCTATTCTATTAGTAACAGAATCTGTCTGACCAATTTTTCTTCACTCCAAAGAGGGTGAAGGCAAGACAACCTTGAGTTTCTTCTTCGCTTTCTGTCTTTCTGGGCTAAATCCATGCTTTACTAACAGCTGCTTCAGACCTTGTTCAGGCCATACTCCTCTGGACCACCTTATCAGAAAAAAAATCATGTGTATTCTTCAGTTTATTTTTTTAAACGACATGATGATAGGTAATTCCCCCCACCCCCCAGTGTTAAATGCTTACATTTTAGGTACTTTAAAAACCAAGGCTGTCTAGATATGTCTGTGGAAAGCAATACAAAATCATGCAGAAAAGAATTGCTTAAAAAATACAATAGAAATCTTTAACTCCGCTATCTGAAAATTTTGATTTGTTTATCAAATGCTACCCAAGCACTTTGGCTTAGATTAGTGAACCTTTGACAGCTTTGTTTTGTCTACCAACTCAGTGCTTCTGCTTTCTTCCACATTGGCAAAGACCCGGTCTTGAAATAAGACTCTGGGCTCTTATTAATCATTATATAATCCCCTAAATGGCTGGTTAGCTATTACCTCCAGTTGGGAATCGATTCAACCTTTGGAACAACCTTTGAGAGACCTTGCACATAATCTTTCAGAGTTTTATTAGCAGATTAAGCTTTCCATATTGCATATCCCTCCCAAAACAAATTTTGACACACCGGGAAATGTTATTACAGTATAGAAACACATGGGTAAGAGTTGGTTGTGAAGAAATATAGCAATAAACTATGATTTACTGTTACATTAAAGCGTATAAGTAAGACCTGATTTACTTACTTTCCCTCTCTCCTTTTCTGATGTAATTCTGAGATCAGAGGCTTTTGTTTCTGCTTTCAACTAACTAAAATGTAACATGATGTTAAAATAGGGGCAATGTTTAGTTTTGTAGTTTTCTCAAGGAGCTAATTAAACTGATGAAGCTGGCTTGTTTCCATAAGTCAGAGTTTAGATGTTATATTTGTGTGTGATGCTAATCTGTGACTGGAAAGATTTCCATCAAGTCCTGCAGTCACTTTCCTTCCAGTTTCCTTCCACTGCCTCTTGTTCAGGAAAGTCATTACTCTCCTCAGAGCCAGACCTAACATTAGGTATAACGAGGCAGTCCAACGAGGCAATGAATTTGGAGGGGGAACAAAACAGGAGAGGTGTTTCTCCTTCCAGCCAGAGCCCTCTCACCTCAACACCTGCAGCAGATGTTCTAACACCTGGCCCTGAAAAGTTCCTTGAAGAGCCATCTCTAGTCCAATATCTCACTATGAGCAAAGCTCCAAGGCTTCTGTGATCTTCAGAAAGCCCTGAATAGTTGAGCAGAAAGGGGGTAGCATGCTTCTCTGGGATGAACAACATGCCTGAATGCTTTATTTATTTGCCACAATTTAGACATAATTCTGCTCATGCCAACCTGGGGAGTTTACAGAATTACAAACAGAAATAATTATATATTTTAAAAAATACAACTACAGCACAATAAAGACTTTGTGGTTGAAGTGCCTTCAGTCGCCATCTGTGTTGCTGTAGCAAAAGTGTCTTTTCCAGTCACCTCATTCGTAGTACCTTGCCCTGAGACAGGGAGGAGGATACCTTGAACTTTATTCTTGACTGCATTGCAAAAGCTTTCCATGAAGAAAATTAATATCCTTTATAGAATGAAATGTTTCAGGAGGAGATAATGTTGGGGATGGCATTAAATCAAGTCTTCTGCTCCATTATTTTGATTCTTTAGTTTACCCAAGATATGTGCCTTCTTGGAAAGGGAAGAAGGACAGCGATACATAGCTATTTTTCAGTCTCTCCGTTTACATGGCATCACTTCAAGTAAGTTTACTTTTTCTTTAAAGTTGAATATTCAGACAAAACTGATGTCCTAAATTTTGTGAATATTTATTTGTAAGCATGCATAAATTCAGTAAGATAGAATTAATAACATAAACTGCATTTGTGGATAGCAAACAATTTCTACATGCACAGTTTACATAGTACTTTATAGAACAGGCTTCAAAGCAACTTATACCTATATATGAAAGAAGACTATTAGTGTGTAGATGTACATACATGCAACATATATATATTGAAAATCTTATACCTACATTTTTTCTGTTACATTTTTTCCTTTAACCATTTGGAAACAAGATGATTGAACTACAGTATGATATCTCCTGATATTTTCCAAATCATTTATAAAGTAATGATTTTCTCATTTAAGGAAAGGGACTCCAAGTTTTGTACAGCTCCACTTCTTCCCTATGACTAATATTCACTGACATTTAATAAAAATAAAGGAAAAAGCAGAAGTTGGAAATAACTCTTTGAATCTACAAGGTGTTCATATTTTTCCTTCTGTTACCATCTCATGTATAACAATACATAAAGAAATAGTAGAAACATATTATCTGATATTTTAAAAAGTATAATGGATTTTAAAAAGCATTATCTGTAACTGATGATAAGTTTGATATGGTGTCCAGGACCCAAAAACAGGTAAGTCCTGCTTCTTTGTCCTTGCTTGGGTGGGCCTATGACAAGCAGGATGGCTCTATTGGTTTGACAACATAGATCTCCCATTTGGGAGTGCCCAAGCCCAGTCACATTGCTCTGACACACCCTCTCCTCTAAGAGTTAATCAGTGCTGTGACAATTGATCTAACCGTGCCTAGTTTCTGTTCTGATGACTGATCTCTCATATACATTGCCTGCTACTCTATGCAATTATTCCATGTTAAGTCAGTGGAAAAGAAAAAAATCTGACACCACCCTTAGGTCTAACTACTTTTTTTTACTGCTTTTCTTGACTTGATATCCACCAGAGATGTTAGAATTACAACTCCCAACCATCACACTCATTTATCAGTTATCTATCTTATCTATCTATCCATCCATCCATCCATCCATCCATCCATCCATCCATCCATCCATCTATCTATCTTTCTCTTGTCTTTCCTTCTGGAAATCAAGACAAGCATCCACAGCACTCCCTCCTCCCACTTTTCTTCAAGAACCCAGCGAGAGAGGTTGGGCTGAAAGAGAGTGATTGACACCATGTTAGCCAGTGAGGGTAAATCTCCCCAATACCAGTCCAGCACTTTAACCAGTACATGAAATATGTACAGTATATAGTTCCAGCTATGTGAAATTGTATTGTCTACTTGTTGTGATGGCAGAGGAATAAGGGAGGGAGAAGCTTCTTCCTTCACATTCTTTAAAATAAACGACTTATTTTTATTCAGCCACATTGTAAGCTCCAACAATAGATGCTTTCATTTGCAGGCTGATGATATACTTCCTGCTTTCAACCCAGGAACAGCACCTAAAATCTCCACCTCATAGACTTCAGATGCATTTTTTTCCTCTAAATCAGTGTTTCTCAACCTTGGCAGCTTGAAGGTGTGTGGACTTCAGCTCCCAGAATTCCCCAGCCAGCATGCTGGCTGGGGAATTCTGGAGGCTGAAGTCCACACTTCTTCAAGTTACCACGGTTGAGAAACACTGCTCTGAATCAAAGCTATGCAATTTCCACTGTCTTGAGGTCACCCTAAGATTAGAGTGACATGTTGAGGACTGCATTGCAAAAGTGGGCAGAGCTAAGGACCTTTGGGGAAATGAGGGTCAAGCATTTTAAGGAGTGAAATGAATGCCTTATGTGCTGGGAGGCTTAAGCCATCCATTTTGTCTTAACATCCCAAATAAAAAACATGAGGCCAAAACTGCCCCACTCTAGGAGTCTGGAGCTAGTGACATTCTTTACACCCTTGTTCTAATCAAATGATATGAAATTATTTAGCAGCAGCTACATGTAGATGAGTGCCAAATCTATTTTTCCCTTTATTGTGTGAACATCCCAGGAGCAGGTAAATGGAAAACTGGGCCAAATGTTGTTAAACCTGATCCTTGGCATTATGTTTGGCTGGCAGAAACACACAGCAGGAAGAACTGCATGACTACAGACTGTGCAAAACTCCAAACTCTGACAACTTTAGATTATGTGCATTGTTGACACAAGAATGCCTTTGTTTGACAATGTTTAATTCTGGTAGAGTCACAAGCAAAAGCAGGAATGGGCGCTGGGTCAAAAGTGCAGCCGGAGTAATGAATTGCCTTCAGGTGCTTCTAAACCAAGGTTTTTATTGAGCAATTGTCAGGCTTCTTTCAGAGCATTTTAATTGGAGGGGGAGAGTCCATTTAAGAAAGGCGCTTGTGTTTTGTACCACAGTCTAAGCCACAAAAAGCTAACTACAGTTAAAAGTAAGCAAGCTTGGTAGGTTAGAGAAGAATTCAGTGGTATCACTACAGCTGCGCCTTTGGGTGTAAATCCAGATTCCTAAGGTTTGGGAAGGGCTGCAGATAAACTTTCATAATGACAGATTAATGGTTGTGGCAGTGATGGAGGAGGTAGTGAGAGAGGAGGAATAGGTTTTGTTTATAATTTGCCAGATATAAATAATTAGATTGTTGTAGCAGGGAAGACCGGTAGGGCTAATGGGTGAGGATAAGCAGATAAAAGGAGGCTGGAAACCTTTGTGAATAGTCAGTGAGGAACAGGAAAATGACTGCAGGAAGTACTCAGAGAAAGAAGAACAAATTAATTAATTAATTACTTATTTCAACTTTGCTGCCACCTAACTCTAATTGACTCTGGGTGATTCACACCTACTATAGAAACAGCTTTTTCTTCGGTCCTGACTAGCAAAAATGCAACAATTGAGGTGTGCGTTTCTGTGTGTTTTTCTTTTTCCAAAGGTAGACATCTAGAGGAGCTATGGAAAATTAATTTCTTTCCTTTGCCGTGGCTGACAAGGATCTTGTCTGATCATTATCATGCAGTGAGTTGGTATTCTTAGTATGAAAATGGGGGAGCCTGGGTTCATTTTAAACTCTAGGCGTTTTCATCTGATGTATTTTCGCAGTATACCTTTGTATACATGCAGGGATCCTGCATTAAAACAAAAATCTTCAATTTGGAACTATGCCTCTATATTTGGTGGCATCACCCAGATCTAGACACTCAGAAATACAGAAACACAGGTAGAACACACTGGACAAACATGCATGGCCATATTAATACCACTTCTAAGCTTGTATAATGAAGCTGAAATGAAAAGTGAATCAAATTGGTTTCACCACATTATATAGCAACAGCAATGTCCAGACTGCAAATTAATACACTTAGTTCTTATTTTGCAAAGACTTTTACAAAAAAAACCCAAGAGTTTACTTCTCTTGACTTGAAGTTGATGCAGGAAAAAAAGGCAAGTCTTCTTCAAGTTCTGATGACTGCATGTACACAACCATGTAGTTGTCATGGCAGTAGAACAAAATTGATTTGCTACTGTCTTCTTCCAGGATGTTTTTTCAACACCCCAGTCTAGTTTATAGCTCTGCAATTTCCTGGTAATGTCCTACTTACTGTCTGACCTTGATTAGCTCTTTTTTGAGATCAGACAAGTTTACCAGGTGCTGGATGTTAGTATATAAATAGGAATAGTGAACATTTACATTACTTTGTGAGAAAGTACAGTGACTGTCCATCCTGCTGTAAGTAGACCTCTATTTGAAAGTGTTCTCTATTTGAAAGATAGTTCAGGTGAAATCCTGTAGAACTGTACAAAAAGCAGGGAGCCATGAAACTATCCATTACTATTCAGCATCTGGGTACCAGACTGAGATCTTTAGGTCATCTGGTCTGTCATTTCTGCACTACCAATATATAGCATCTTCTAGAGTCATCCAACCATTATTGTGCCAAAATATGGTTAGATCATTCTAGAAGACACTATAAGGTGCAGAAATAATCCCTTGGTCATCTTTTAGGGTACTGCAAATGATCCTGACATGGGTGACAATATATATTACTGCCCCCAAACTTAGCAGATCACCAAAATTTTCACCCAAATCTCACAAGATTTCAGATGTACAATCTCATAATATTTTGGGCCATTTGGTTGAGTTTTGAAGTTTGCATGAAACACCAACCCTCCCTCCTTCCCATGACTCAGATAAGCATGTCATGCAAGTGGGATGTAAGGAACAATGATGGAAAATCTAAACAATTAAAAATGCTGTCTGAAACTGCTAAACAGAAAACCTGTAACATTATACAATATTGATAGAAAAACTGGCATATGGCTGAGGTACAATTGCATTTTCTGTTCAATTTTACTGAATTTATTTAAATGAAAAATACCAAATTTATGGATGCTACAACATGGAAGATTTTATTTTCCTTTCAGCTAGAGAATGGTGGTGACATGGTCTTTCAGGCAGACTTTAACACTCAGGCAGTGAGATTTGGTCTTGTGCTCACACAGGTAAGCTGTGAAGAACCTGCTAAACAGAGTGGGGGAGAAATGACAAAATGCAGTCAACAAAACCTCTCACACAACCTTCCAGGGCAATGTTGATGGGAAGATTGTTGCATTGTTGAAATGAAAGAAACAGGTTGTAATGCAATTTATCCCTAATCTTTTACACTGTAGAAATCTTCAACTATCATCCTACCTATAGTTAGCAAACTGAGTGTGGGTGATAGAGATTATAGTCTAACACAATGTTTCTCAACCTTGACAACTTTAAGATGTGTGGACTTCAACTCCCAGAATTCCCCAGTCAGCATATCTGCAGGGCATTGATATTTTTATCCATTTTTTTTAACAAAAAAGATAAAAAATATTAATTCATTATTTTGATAGCAGCTGAGTTCATGGAAGCTTTTCAATGTGTCTGTTTGTTTTTACCACTTATTCCACCCAAAGATGTTCACAAATTCTTGTATACTTATGAATTAAACATACATAAGATATATCCTACATATACAAGAGTAAATCCATTTAATTCATGCAACTTATTTCTGTATAAACACATATAGGTTTTCATTGCAATGATTTTAATGGGAATATTATATTGTAATACTAGATATATTAGAAGTGCTATTCAATTCAGTGGGCTTACTTTGAAGAAAATAAGTATTTTAATCTTAAACACATGCTGAATTCTCCCACTGAACTGAATGAGACATCAAAATGCTTAAATTTGGCTAGATTAGGTTCTGTATTTTTCTTCTTCCTCCAACAACAGAATTTTGTAAAATCCTGGGATATTTACAAACTACTTATAATATTATAAACATTTATGGAATATCAGTTAATAGCTTACTTCATCTGTTGACAATAATACAGGAAACAAATAGTATTTCACTACTCTAAGATTCTTAACATTTCAAAGGGAAGTAAATGACAATACTCCTGTAGAATTATTTATGAGTTATTTATTCCTCATAACTGATCCTTTACTGATTTTTTACGACACTGGAATAGTATACCTTTATATCAATATATAAACATGCTGATTATTCCAGGAACCAAGATATCATGCAGAAGTAATTTCCATTTATGGATTCTTCTTTGAGATAAAAGCAATAAAACATGATGCTTCAGCATACAGTTTTTACATGCAAGTAAGAACAGCATTTCTATGATCCTTGAGGTTCAAAGTAATATTAGCAAACAAAGCACTTTTGAGTCCTATTAATTTATGTTTGAGAGTTTTGTGCATTCTTTAGGCTATCATCATCTACACCCACATGGGTATCTCTAGCTATTTTGGCTTACACCCATGTTGACAGTGGAGGATGAGAAATATATTCTTACTTATTTAGAGAGAATTAGCTTGGGGAACAATGATCTATATACATTTACCTACAAAGAAATCTTTTAAGTGCTTAGTATTGGTGGTTTTGCCTCTTTCTTATACAACAGGTTCCATATGAAGATTCTTTTTTTAATCTAATGAATTCTGAAGAAAGGAATGGGAGAGAAAGAAGGGTCTACCAGGTTAGACAGAGCATGCTGTGGTATCAAATGATTTTTGACATGAATAAAAAATTGAGCTAGATTATACAGTACATTCAACATGACAAAATGCCACAAAGAAGATTATGCTTTTAATATTTTTGGCAGTAAGGAGGAAAGAAATAATGGAGCTTGCTGGAAAAAAAAAGATTTTTTTCTTGACCAAAAGTGCTCTTGGGCCGTATCTATTCATTTTATAGGCCTTCACATGGGAAAATGCCTTGGTAGCCTGTGCTCCTTTTATGTCTAGATAGCTAGGTATTTGCAGGTCCAATAAGCTCACTTTCCCCACCCAGATGCTCTCCAGATAAGGTGGTTACACTGGTCGAGAATTCTGGGAGTTCAGACACAACTTATCTTGAGAGTGTCATATTGGACAAAGCTGACGTGGTTCTGTACTGTGTGATCAAGGTGTGTGGGAGGCTGAATCTGCAGCTGGTCCTCTCTTGACCCCAGTGATTTCCTCAGCTGATCTGTTGTTCCAACTGAAGATCAGATCCAACCCTTAGGTTTACACCTTGGTATGTAGAGATGATTGGTTCTGCTTGGTCACATGACTCCCTGTTCCAGTGATGTCCTGGGTTGAACTCTATAGTGATAATGTGCTGAAAGAGGGCTCTGGGCAGCATTAGGGAAAGAGAGATGTTTTATGCTATTTTCATCTCCCAGTCTTTGTTCCTATCACTCTGCTTAAGCTTTTTTTCCCCCTTCCATTTCTTGCCAAAATAATCTCTCTCTATAAAAAAAAAAGTTCATGAAATCTTTAAATGGTGCCAGTGGAGTGACAATATTCTATCTTAAATTAGGGTTTTATTGGTACAGGGTTTTCTGTAACTTCAACACATAGGCATTGGTGAGCAAAGAACTGAATTTAACTCCCTGTCATTTCAGAGAGTCAGACATGCAGATCCAATTATCTCTTACTTTACTGCTGAGCGTAGTCCTGTCAGTTTAAAGCAAGAACGGGAAGTTAAATATGAAATAAAAGCACAATGTCAAATAGATGGAAAGTGGGAAGAATTCACCACAGAAAGGCTTACGCAAAGGTTTGGAGTTAAGAAACCTTCTTCTAAAAGCAAGGTGAGGAAAAAAACAAAAGAAATGTACGAATTACTTTAAGACATTTTTTGTGGCAAAAAGTGAAATCAAGATATAGCTTCAATAATCTCTTGGGCTGGAAAAGTATAGTTTCTGGGCTACTTAAGAAAAATAAACTTTGTAGGCAAAGGCCTAAATTACACAAACAGTGATCTAAGGATGATATGGGAATAATCTGCGAAACAAAAAAGGCAATTAATCCATACATTTGGATGCATTTTAAACAATTACAAAATATTTGTGTGAACATGTGAAACAATTATAATCCACTTTTCCATTAAAATACCTTAGATGGCTTCAAATAATAATTTAGAACTGAGAATAAACAATATAAATTCAAAGGATGAAAAGAGATCAGGAGAGAGCAGAAAAAACACTGCATTTAAAAGAATCTGACACACTTGATCACTATCTGATTATTTAAATAAACATTTGTATGTTGCCTCTTCCATTGACCTGGTGACTTACAATAAATGGAGCAAAAATATTCATGTAATCATCATAAGAACAATCCACAATAAATAAAAACATAAATACTATTGAGAGAAACAATTGCTACCATTAGATAAGTTTGTCCTCCCCAAATGTCCTTCTAAAAAGAACCATATTTACCATTTTTTTAACAACATAAAGGTAGTTCCAGAAGGGCCTGCAACTGAGAACATCATTCTCAGGGTCCCAACCCTTTTAGCGTAGGCACCTGAGCATCCTCTCTCTGCTAGTCCATGTATAGTCTCCACTGATAACAAAGGTTCAAGCTTATGAATTAGTAAGAAATCATCAGGGTGAAATAAGGCAGGCCTCCCATGGGAAGGAGTTCTTCTGTCAGGAAGGACAGCTTTTCTAATAAAAGTTCATTAAAAAATGGGACGAAATAATTCTTTAGATATTATCTTTCTTGTCAAGCTGGACATATTTGCAGGTATATCTCATTTTCTTTCTTCTCTTTTTCCTTCTAACAAGATAATCAGTTTTATTTTTGACTTATTGGTCCCATAAGCAGAAGCATGTGTTAACCTTTTCTCTTTTCCCTTCCTGAACATAGGTCTTGAAAGCAAGCATACCATCAGTTCCCATCTATGTGACATTTTCCCTTCTTTTCCCATCATCCTAAAAGACCACATGCGCTCTTGTCTCTTCCTCCATTGGTGAATTCATTCTGAGACCTGGCACATAGAGGAGAGTTACAATTGGAGATGTTCTAGCAGGTGACCACAGTTGCTATAGCCTGAAAATAAACTTTACCCTCTCCCATCATATTGAGCTCACTGGGACATTGACCTTATCTACATTCTGCTTTTGACTAATGTTGCCCTTACTAAAGGACTAGTTTGACCTTTCTAAACCAGGTGCCCTTCGGTAATATTGGTATATTGAAATACGTAGTGTAACCCATTTGGGGACAGCACATTAGGGAAATCTGGTTTATGTCTCCTTAGGCATGGAGTATGGTCCTTACTAGCAAGTAAATGGCATGCTCTTTCCTTCTATGTGTACATGAAATGTAATTGAGTTCTCTTCTCTCACTTTATCCAGCGGGCCCGAGCCAGCTTCACTGCAATTCCCATAAACAGTGGTGATGAAGCAATAAGATTGCCATGCCAACCCACTCCAGCTTCCCCTCCCACTGCATAAATTCCACACGAAGCACAAGTTGCAGATGATTCCAGATGAATATACAATATGCATGATTCATGACAATAATTTCTTAGAGCAGATGTTGATATTATCTTTTAACCATCAGATCGTGTTTTACCTGTTTTGTCCCCTTTTTAAATTTTAACAATAAGGCAGAAAAACTCAGAACAGAAGCACAAATCTTCAAAGGAGTAGATTATGTGCCATGTTGCTCTCCATCAAACTGCATTCAGTTAAGAAATGGCTGTTTTCTATTCTCTTATTCCCTGTTCCCTTGGAACAACTGGACAGTTACTGAACCTTCTTTATAGATTTTTTTCTATGTATAAATTCTTTCAATATATAAATTATTTCTAGAATTTTAATTAATTTTAATTAAATTGTCTTCATCCTTTGGGGATAAATTAAGAACAAGATTATATTATTTAAATAACTATATGCAGATGAAAAACACAGACCCATAGAAAGGCATGAATTTCAGTATGCCAATAATTTTATTATTTTCTTTTGCATGTAATTGTTGATAACCACCAGTCCTTTGATTCTGCTACACAGTTAGTTTGTGGAATAAAAATAGATCATTGGTTGAGAAAACAAGAAGTAGGAAGAAATCAGGCCACAGCTAATAGTTGTATCCATCTGGTAACTATCAGTGCTATTTTCATCACCATACTGAAAAGTAGACAAGTGCTATTCTCCTTGGACACCCTTATAGTAAAATGAGAAGTCTGTTACTTATAAACAATTAGTAGTTGCATTCACAAATTGGAGAAAACACCAAAGAGGTTTTAGGTTTGGCTTAATATGTTATTGAACCAATTGCACTTTGGAGGTTATGGTAGATATAGATAACCCATGGTGGATCAACTGTCCCAGGTGCCCTCCAGAACCACAGAGCAGAAGTTTGGTAGCAAATGATAGAGATGGACAATGGAACAATGGAGCAAATAAGCTGCAAAAATGTGCGTACCTACTTCCTCCAGAAACCCCATTAAAAAAAAAAAAAATCTTAAAAGTGTTAGTTCTATCTATCTGCATGCTTTACAACAGGGTTCCTCAGCCTTGGCAACTTTAAGACGGGTGGACTTCAACTGCCAGAATTCC